CAGATGCACCTATGTATGGAATGGTTTTTGAAACAGCAGATCCACATACTGATAAACAAATTAATACACATTTTACTGCTGTTGCTGCTTATCTTGAAAAACAAGTTCGTTTTGAAAATATTTTAATTAAAATAGTAATTATTATTTATTTAGGTTGGAACATTAACACAAATACCATTAATGATACTTTGTAAATCATCAGTTTTATTAGATGATGAACATTATTCTCAAATACTTAATTTATCTAGGGAACTTTTATTAGATCATAATGAAGAATTAGCTGCTTGTGTTGGTAGGAGAGAAAATAAAATATTTATTTCAATAGGAATAAATATGAATGTTTTTTTTCTTTTATAGCAACAATTGTTATGCTAACAGCTGCTCGTGCTGATCAATTAGTTGATGCATTATTTCATACTGAAATGGAGAATTCATCTGCATTAATACGTTATAATGCAATATTGAAATTTCAAACATTATGGCGTTTTCGTTATCAATTTTGGATACGATTAGAAGAAGGTGCACATTCAATGATGAAGGTAAAATTTAAAGAAAAAGAATTTATACAAAAAAAACTAAATATTTGATTTTACCAATTAGATCCTTCCACCAAGTATTGAATTTGTTTTACCATCACCAGCACTTGGTGTTGCTAATCTTCAAACAGTTGATCCATCATGGATGCCACATGCTAAAACACTTGTTCAACAAGTTGCTTTAAATCAAGAAGAAGTTGTATGTTGAATATTAATGAATGAATACATATTTATTTATTATTAAATATTTTTATAGCGAGCTGTTGTTACAGCAAGTAAGACACGTAAGAAGCATCAACAAGAATTAATTCATTCAGCATTAATGGCTGAAGAAATAAATAAGCGAGTTGCAACAGAAAAACTTTCTGTGTCATCTGTACCAATATTACAATCAACTTCATTTGAACCATTTTTATATGAATCAAGAGATGAAGAAGAAGAAGGTATGATAGAAAGAAAAATCTTTCTTCTTGTTTTGACAACAATAGTAATAATTGTTTTAGGACATACAGATGATGATCGATTTGTTGAAACAAGTAGTCAAATACGACAAGCACAAGGAACATTTCCTTCAGCATTTGGTGCAGTTGTATATCTTCTTGTTGAAATGTTAGAAGATGGAGAAACACTTGATAATGGAGCAACAGGTTTGAAAATATTATTAAAAAAATAATTTGTTTCAATTCTTTATTTCTTATAGTATCAGAAGCTGCTCGAAAAGCTCTCTGGACATGTTTAGTTGATGAACCAACATTATTAATTCGTTTTTTCTTTGAAAAAATTTCTAATAAAGAACGTCGTGTAAGTATTTATTTGAATTATTTATTTTTATTTTTATCTTCTTCTTTGCTTTTTTAAATAATAGATTTAATCTTCTAAAGTCTTCGTCCTCTTATGATATGTTTAACCGATATTCCACCACAATTTGCACATGCCGTATTTAATTATGTTCTTGGTCTATTAATGAGTATGGTACGTTCACCATTAGATGGTTCACAAGAATTAATTGTAGCTGGTCTTACATTATTATGGCAAATAATTCCTTATCTATATAGTCTTGTTTGAAAAGAGTTACAATAAATTTTACGTAAAAAACAAGCTGAAATGATGATATTAATAACAGGTAGTATACCGTCAGCAAAAGAAGTTATTATAAATGGTACTGATTTATCACAAATTCCAACACAAGCAATCATACAAGAAGATACACAACTTAGTAATGTTTTACAAGAAGCATTAGATTTTTTTGATATACCTGATGCAAAACGTGATGATATTATTTAATTGATGTTAAAACTCAACAAATACATATACCAGATACATATGTACGAGATTTTTATGTTTTTCGTCGAAATATCTATCCACAATTATCATTAATACATATGGATGCAAAACAATCACCACGACAACTTGAACATATGTCAATTTATTTAAAAACAACTGAATTATCAAAAGTTTTATTTGCTCGTTATTTACTTGAAAATACACCATATAATCAAATACATAATTGTGTTACATTTTTTCACGATGAACTTATTAAGTCCATCATTTCCAAGGAAACCATTAGAATCAGATTATAATTTATATACAAGAATATCTTATAAAGAATTATTTAATTTAGATATGTTACATAAATATAATTGGTAAGTGTAAAAAAAAGAAATCTAATCTATGATCAACCTCTCGTTATTATTTTTATATTGAAAAGTCAATGAATTTATTTTATATCTAAAGATAAAATTAATCTTCTGTTTATTTTTTAACATGCATGGTAAAATGACGACAACATGGGGTATAATACTTTTTCTTAATGTTATTAATGGTCCATTTATATTACATTGTAAAGAACTTCCTAGGTTACGTTTTTGTCTTGCAATATCTATAAGTATAGCTAAACATTTTCAACATATATTCGCTGTAAATGAATTAGTAAATTAATCCATTTAATTTCAATTGAATATTAAATTATTTATTTTTACTTATCTATTAATACTCAAAACATTTCTTCGTATTTATTCAAATATTCATTCAAATTCAATGTTAAAAAAAGCTATTAAATATTGTTGTAGACGATTTTTTATTGTACATCGTATACCATTTATATTACCAATGCTTGGTAGTTTATCGTCATTATTTGATTTTAATGAACAAGCAAATATTACTAATACAAATAAAATTCAATCAATAAGTTTATCTCGTTTTGTTAATGGCTTTAGAACAAACAAGTGTTGATGCTATGAGAGAACATCATTCAATGTTAGTATTAGTTAAAGATAATTCATAATCTAATAAAGCAACACCACCTATTATACCAACAAAAATGCCAATTTAAAATATGACTGCTATTTCAGCACTTGATCAAGAAAATTGGTTAGACTAATAACAGTAAAAGCTTTGGGTTTTTATTATGTAGATGGGGATACTATTTGTACTTTATTCAATTTGTATTGATGTTTGTGTTACTGTTGGTAAATTAAACATTCGTTCCGCTTTTTTTTTAAAATAAGAATCAGGTATGTTATCAAATAATTTTGTGACCAGTATAGTTGGCTTCATATTGTTTCATATTCTTGTTCTTTTATAGATCTACAAAAGAAAAGATAATGTAATTATTTTCAATTTCTTGTTCTTATGGTCCTTCTTTGATCAAACATTTATATTAAAGGAAATTCGGGCTTAAAAGTTCTGTTGTGAAGTTAAGAAAGTACATTAAGTACTAGAATCTTTTATAAAATGTGAAAAGAGTCTAACTTTTTAGATATAAACGAGAGTAGCGTTTATATCAAT